GACAAAAACAACATGGCGCTCACCGAGTTTTAGACAATGTAAAGTCAATTGCTTTAACCCCCCAGAAAAACAATGCTTCTGGTTAAAAGGGGAGATGTTGTCATCTCATCAAGTCTTTGTTCTAAAAGGTTTTCAGGATGTTGCATCAGGTTAAAAGACTTGCCTAAAGTAAAGCTGCAATACATGTTTTCCCACATGAATTGTATCTAGATGAGATATTTTTTTCCTGCATGGAAGAATGCAAATGTCCCCATCAAAAAGACAGGACATGCTGGGTCCGTGTGTTGCCTTCCACTCTTTTATCAAAGTTTTAGAAGGATCTAAATAGTGCTAAGAAATGTGGCCCAAATTTTATATCATGTTGTTTTCAATAATACTGGTATCACAGTATTTGATAGTGTTTTTCTTTTCATCACAGCTCAGCTGATAATAAAATGTACAAACATTGCTTATTGATTAGTAAACTCTGATCAGCTGGAGTTAGTCTCTTTCTGCAACACAGAAACTATATATTTACTTTTTCTTTTACTGTACGTCTGTCTGTGTCTATTTCCCTTCTCTCTGTGTCTGTTCTTCTCAGCCTGGTTGTAGACAGTAGTCACGCATTTTAGTCCAGTCATGAAGGAGGAGGGTTGAGCAAAGACCATTATCAGGTCTTTTGTTTTGTGTTATTTAATCAAACTTAACAGGATGACTCAGCCTTCGTGCACCAGTCAACTCAAGCCCAGTACAAAACTACTTCCCTCGGCCTTTTTACAATAGAAGAACGCCTCCATGCATTAATGCCGCACATTAAATCTTTCATGCACACCACTGAAGAGGCGTTTACTACATTCAGCGATGGTTAAACAGGGAGAGTTCGTTTTTAATGTCAGTTAATATTTGCAGCGGAATCGCCGGTTATTGAGAAGCGGCTCCAACGTTAGCTTGCTAATGAGCGTAGCGGTGCTGCGAGGAAAAGTGTCCACAATGAAACAGTTCACTGGCTAGCACAACATAACGTTCCAAATGTGTTCAGGCTACTTAAACCGGTATGTCCGGTATTCAGAAAATTCATATCGTAACAAAAATTAAAAACGGTTTTCAGTACGAACCCCTATACCGTCCAGCACTAGACCTAAATCCACATTAGGACAAATGTAGTTACATTGTAAGACTGGTTTGACGTTCTTGAAGTAAGGCTAAAAGAGCAAATCATCACACAGCTAGGTATCAAGTATATGAAGTCAGGCTGCATTATGAAGTAACAGTCACACTTACTTACCCTGTTCTTATTGGGTAAAGTACAAGGTATGTACTAGGGTTGGGCAATATTGGCAAACAAATTAATCACGATTTATTGTGGTATTTAGCTGACAACGATTAATATGATGATTAATCCCCTGGAGCCCCTGAATGTCTTATATTATAGTCACATGACTAACTTAAATCACTCTAGGGGAAAAGATTTGCTCTCCATAAAAATCTGTTCCAAATTGTGTCAAAATACAGACTTCAAGCTAAACATCAATTTTTTAATTGTGTTGACAGACCAAGTAAAACCTGATTTATGATTAATAGATTGCAGAACTTTTTTTTAAAAAGTTTTTCTTATTTGAGGCAGAGAGGAGCATTGAGAAGACTGACCGGGGAAATTTCCAGTCAGTCTGCCTGGTGGCATTAATTGTATTAATTGTCAATTGCCAAAAAATAATTGATTAAAGTTTTTCTGACCATTAATTGCACACAATATGATTTTGCCCAACCCTATCATATTCCCAGTAATAATTAGTTTTGTACCCTGTAAGCACCAGCTACATAAACCTTCATACCAGGTACATATCCTGCAAGTACCTGATAAATATCAAGTATGTGCCCAGTACACACACAGTAAACTGTATTATGTGTTGGCACCAAAAACATTAAAACCCACACTTTCTGCTTTCGATGCTCCCTGCTGTGTTGTTTTCATTAACTAGTTTGAAGTTTCAACAGGTTGTGACAAAGAGGTGTCATTATAAAAAGCTGTGTGTACGAAAAGGTAACCCCTAATTGTTAGCAAAACTGAGGGGAATTAGACAAAACAGTCCTCCTCAAATTCTGAGTTCCCGGGGAGGAAAAACAAACAATGAATCAACATTTAGTGCTTCGATAAACAATTTTGCATCTTAAAGATTAAGCAAATAAATTAAACTAAATAAATATCGTGACTGTATTATTTTCTTTTTCTTCAACAGGCAGCATCACTCCCATTGTCCATTATCATTGTTGGTGTTGGACCTGCTGAGTTTGATGGTGAGTCAAGTCAATTTTACAATCTATGTAGATTATTTATTAGAATAAAATGTTTTTTTTTTCACATCTGCTGTCATCTGCGTCATAGTAACTGTTGTCTTTTTTTAATAAAGACTTGTAAATTGATGGTTAACAAAAAATATCATATTTGAAACAGCATTTTCAATTTGGAATTACTGATTTAATAAACAGTTAGAGGTGAAGGCAGGGAGCAAACAAGCAACTGTCAAATTAACAACATTATAAATATGTTTGCGAAGACCTGGGGTTGTTTTCCTGTATGGGAAGAATGGTTTAACTCTGACCTTGACTTTAAACGGACTCAGTGGGACTCAGATGGGAGACCACCACAGTGATGTGACATAATTAGTTTTATATGTTCACCAGTTCTCCCCCTCGTGGACGATCGACTAAAGGAAAGTCACTGAAGTCAAGTGAGCAGGCATCTTACAGCCTATAGATCAATGAATTACTCCTCAGTGAGGACTCTGTGTGTGTGAGTGTGTGTGTGTGTGTGTGTGTGTGTGTGTGTGTGTGTGTGTGTGTGTG